TGAGACACGAGGGACAACTGCAGGCAGACATTTGTCTCTCATTCGGATGGATGGGGTACTGGAATGGTGTGAAAGCTTCCATCACAGGCTGTGAGCTCTGGGAGAGAGAAGAGAGGTCACGCAGAGGAGGTGCTGAAAAAAACTAAAAAAAACCTGGAAATGTCTACAAACCAGTCCTTATATTATCAAAAGTGTCCAGATGATTAGTTAGACGTACGTGCATGTTTCAAGGTTCTAAAGCGTTGTATTTCCTGCGTGTTCCTGCTCCGAGATTATTGTGTTTGTTGTTTGGTTTGGGTGTGTGTACGCGCTAGTTTGACAAGCCGTCTCCAGGGACAGCCTGTCAGTGCGGCATCACTTTCTGTCAGCCATAGCAGGACTGTCACTTCCCCAAAAATGAATGGGAGACATATCCATTACCAGGCAGCACCTGATACATATTACATCACCCTTCACGCGAACGCCGCGCCGAAAGTCTGCTGCCATCATTTAGAGGAATGTTTCTGCTGGGGGAGGGAGGACAGGACTGCGCAGGGGGGAAATCCCTCAACAAATCACAGCACTCTCAAAAGTTGCTGCGAGTAAATTATGTTCTTCGTTTCCACGGCTCTGGGCTATCTTTTTTCTTTCAGCAGAAGTCTTCCCTTCCCACCCACACATCCTGACATCTTTTCCAGTTCCTAAATGCAATTACCAGTAGTGTCCGACCTTATGATGGCATGCAAAAACTCCTTTCAAAACTATGTTTTCCAACTTCATGTGTGATAAACCGGCCAATTCTGGACATTCAAAAGGAAGACAAAAGCCACTTTGGTCTTTAAGATGTTGGATTATTTGCAGTTTAAAGCTGTCCTGAAGTTCCTCAAAATTTCCTTGTGAACTGGTTTTAGTTGTGAAGCTGGATAAATTGCTACTTCTACCCATGCCCAGAAGACTGGCAGTTCTTTGCTTTTTGCTGCGTGTATGCGCTGATTTCTCAGCACCCATTAACTGTAACGACGATAATAAGAGCTCACTGTTCGCTGAAAACACTGAAGCTGTCATTCACCCTCACAGAAGCAAAGGCAGCGGAAGTTAGCAGGGTGGCCAGCCGGGTCAGGACGGTCACCTAAAGATGCCTGAGATGGACTTGAGTAGCTTAATTATAGCGTGTCTTAGTCATGCGTTCGGTGTCTGTGAATAACAAGCTTTGCAACGAAAATTCTCACTCATTCAGCATCTTATTAAATCCAATTTTTTCTCCAGTGAAGCTTCATTTTGTGAAAAACAGCTGACAGTTTTAACCTCTCCTGCAACGATTGGAAACTTTGTGCAGCTATCAAGCCGTTTGTTAGAGTGTTAGCATCAAATCAAACAACAAGAAGCTCAGAAACTCTGTTACAGATATGTGTTATTGGGGATATTTTCATCTCTGCCTTTTGAAGGCCGACCGGCAGCATTTTTCCTGCTGCGGTCACTAATTGACACGGAGGACATCCTCACGACTCCCCGGCCCAGTCTGCAGCTCAGCCCAAACGCCCCCCCCCCCCCGTCTGCTTTTCCTCACACTTTGTTTCCTTCACAGAAGTCCTCGGAGGTCCAGTTAACGGCGCCCGCCTGTTCCTCTACTCCATTTTCAATTTCTCACCACCGCTCTGAGTGTGTTTTGTCTTTTTTTTTTCTTCTGAGAAGGTGATTGGAGCTTGCAGGCAAGCGCTCGGGAGAGTTTAAGCTGTTTATGTGCGCCTCGCTTCTACAGCTTCCGGGGCCTGAAAGAGAGGACAGAGAGGTCAGGGCGAGTGGTATGGTGAGAAGGCTCGCTTTCTGTTATGGTAATGAGACCCGCAAATGGAGAAAACCAAGCGTAGCCGTGCTGCTCCTGGCCAGAGTTCAGCCGAAGATCCCTGGAACCAGAGACTCACCTAAAGGCGGCCATTTTGAAAACAGTGTCTGCAAATGACTTCCTCCACAACCAAGAAAGCGCTGTTTTTTTTTTCATCTGCAAAGGAAAACACCACAGGAAGTTCCACTGAAACTTGACTTTTTTTCTTTTCCCTCTGCTTCTGGTGGAGGTGAACTTGTGTGGAACTGGGCGAGTTCCTCGTCACACCGCTCCCTGAGAGGCTGCTTGGCGGGAACACAGCCGCCAGCTGTCCCCGTCCCCCTCTCTCCTTCTCTCATTATTTTTATCGCGCTCGCTTTTCTCTCTTATGCTTCCTCTTTGCGTCTGGCGTTCCCCTCGTCCCCACCCTCCTCTCCTCCCCATCTCTGTTTGTCTCGGCTTTTCTTCGCTCAGAGCGTTGCCGCGGCGCCGGCCTCCCACCGAGGAACAAGGCTGGATTCGCCATTCCACATCCCTCCCTCTCATTTCCCCACATCTCTCCTCCAGCTCTTTTCCTCTACTCGCGTCCTGTTTGCGCTCTCCCTCCCAAGCACACATCACCCACCCACACTAGCATCCACCCGACTCTCTCCCTCTTCTTCTTCCACATTCCTCAAACTTGCCTCCTCTTGATGGCTGCTCGTGTTTCAAGTGAAACAGCAAAATGCCCTCCCCCCCCCAGGCACCGCATTCGAAAAAGCACGCCGCCGACCAAAATAAGGGGAAGAACAAGGCACCTGCTTGCTGTGTTAGCCATTTAGAGAAATCCCATTCCAACCCTGTCCGACTAGAAACCCCTAACCAGAGCGCAGCGTGCAATTATTTTCCCTCCCCAACACCTATTTACTTGCTTTCTCTTGCTCCACCGCTCCCTCTCTCTTCCCGCTTTAGCTTAAGCTGCAGTTTTCCTTTACTTACAGTTGAAACCCGGCATTGGAAGTAATGAGGGTCTTGGGAGAGCGCCGGTTTTGCGAGCCACCGTAGGCCCGTGTGGGTCCCCCACGGGGAGAGTTAACTGACATTAGCCCCCAGCTTGGAGAGGCATTGACTTGCACCCATTGAGATCTAAACCGCCGCTATTGTACCCTGCTGCTTATCTGCCTCTTCCCCCTAAAGACTCGGCAAATAGGGGGGTATTACCTCGACGTGGGTGTTTGTTAGGTGGTGCAGGTGTGTGAGCACATTTATATCCTAGGGGTTGTATTAGGAGATGGTGCTGAAACAGCCTTTTCTCTTGTCTTCTATCCCAGTTTATTAGTGCTCACTGTACTTACCTCAATTTATCCAAAATGGGCCTCCCTGCTCCAGGGGTCTGTTTTTGTGAGAAATGCTCAGAAAGCCTGTGGAAACCTGCGTGTGTGTGTGTTCATGCAGGCAGGCGAAGACATTACTGTCTTTGTGTAAACGCACATCTGCATACTTTGGCAAGCGAGTAGGCACACGTCCGAAAAACTCACCTCTCATGTGCAATTAATAAGTCTTTTCATTGAATATCTGATTTTTTCATTATTAGCACAGGCACACACAAAGTAATTCCAGAGCTTTATATTCCCTGAAACAAAACAGAAATATGGCCACAAGTGCTCTCCCTCGGCTTTGAACTTGGCCAGCATTTGCGTTTGAAACCATGATGCAAAAAATCTTCAAAGACCACACTCCGTCTCTTCAAAGGAGATTTGGTGTTACCTTGTGGACGGGAAATTTAAGGTTTGCATTGGGCTTTTAGCGAGAGGCATTATCTCCAAAAATGCAATGAACTGCCATTACTTTCAGCCCTGCTGCCAAGCTCTGTAAGGGAAGTGTAAAAGTGGAGGTGTTTGCTAAATGGCTTTTTTCAAAGAGGAAATTAAACTTATTTGAGTCTTTGGCTGCATCCTGAAAAATTTACTGCTACCGATGCCCTTGTAGTGCACATTTTCTTTACTTAACCTCCATAAAGTGGAGTGTTTTAAAGTCAGTTAGAGACTGAATGTAAAACAGTGGATCGGACCCCTTAGGATTTGAACAATGAGCCGTTTTGTAACTGTAGCTGACATGTTTGTCATCAGTAATGTGAACGTGCGGAGCTGATCGTGAAGGTGTAAATTACCGACAGGAAATAAAGATGCAGGGTGATGGAAGAGAGGAAGACTGGAATTTATCCAAACACCACTGATTGTCACATGTGCTAATTGTAGTAAAACAGCTGAGGGAGTACCACTATTATCAGGAGGACGCGCAAAAAGAGCAGCCAAGCACACAGTCTTTTTTCACACATGGAAGTGAATCTACATGTTTAAATATAACAGCATTAATATTCTTGTTTGAAATCTGTATGACTAAAGAAAGAGGCATGTAGTCAAAACAGGAACTGAAATCAGGACTTTGATTAGCTGTTGTTAATTGCGAATCTATAAATAATTGCGTCTTTGGTCCAGTCTTGTTTCCATCATGGAGGCTTGTATCATTGGTTTCTGACAGCATTTCACTGGCCTCACATTTGACTCTGAGTGCGTTGGTATGCAGGGGAGTTTATAACAGAATGGTCCTTCAGCTGGAAAACAAGCACAAACCATCAAGCTCCACCAGCTGGGGGGTGATTTTCTAAGACGTCCATTCCTGGAAAAATCAACATCTTGAACATTTTCTACTCGTCTTGATACATTAAACATCTGAACTGACCGAGAAGTGTACTTTGTTTTGGTTGTGGATCCGCGCGCAGTCTTTTTCAATTTCCTCTGCATAGTGGAACCATTTCCATACCATTTATTTGTTTTACATATTTATTCATTGCTAGTGAAGACAATCTTTCTGTGGGCACAGAGGTATACAGTCGGTTCCTGCTGACATTTACCTCCCTTCCCTCCTCTCTCTCGGCAGCATATGAAGAAGAAACGCACGTCAGAGATTCTGCCCATGAATTATTAATAGCCTGGATTAAAAGTGCCAGGACTCACTGTGGAGCTTGTTTGTTTTATTTGGACGTAATTATTTAATGGCACCTTGTTAAAAATTATAGAGGAGTGGAGAGGATTGAGGCAGGGGGAGGAAGGGGAAAAGAAGAAAATGTGAGAAGAGGCTTTGTTTGACAGTAATTGCCGGTGCAATAATTACAAAGTGTGCAAAGTTTCCCTGTTAGTCAGAGAAAAAGACCGGAGAAATGACGAGGCCTAACTACACGAGTAGATCTGTTTGTTTAGTTTTTTTTTGTTTCTTTCTTTTTTTAGACAGGTCCTTATATAGTTTTTTCAGACCTTTTGTCTTTCGTCTTTCTTGCTTGTACCTTTAGGGGTCCAAAAACCCTCTAAAGTGCTTCCGTTTTGCCCTTGCAGTTTGTCAGTTACTTCTTGGGAACATAAGTGTACCTTTCAGAGCCTCTAAAAGTACAAATATCTGCCTCTGGGTCCAGTTATTTCCCATACAGCTACATAAGTCGAGAAAGTACCTCAGAAGGCATGAATATACTTCCATCGCGTCCCTATTTTTTTAGTGCATACCTCCAAATTGGCAGAGCTCACACGTTGTATAAAATTCTGCCACTGCCGTCCAAACAAATTGAGTCTGACAGCAGAGCTGGTGCGTGCTATATAACCCTGACCACACTCACACACACACACACGTACACATAAAGAGGATAGCCTTTAACATAGGGTCGATTTTTCATGGTTTAGGGGTTCAGCAAACTGCTGCTGGCTTTCTTTATCCTCTCTACATCCCCTCTGAACCTGTGCTGCAGCCAATTCTGTCCCTGTGGCAACAAGTGGCCATGGCCCCTCAAAACTAGCTGAAGGCGTCTCCAGTCAGACACGCACACACACGCTGCCTCTACACTGCGACAGAGCCCAGACACACACACCAGAGCACAGCGCATGAGCATGCACACATAAATATTACATGAACACACGTGAACCTAAAGCCGTAATAACTTATTTTAATCTTAACTTGCAGGTGCTGTTAGCCTTTGAGATCGGAGCTATAGGTTGTAAGGAGGTGTTACGTTTTGCGTATTTGATAAATATTTTTTGCTCGGCGGTGGAGGCTCACATAAAACACACAGCCAGTGTTTCTTGTGTTATCTCAGAGTTGCTTCAGCGTTTGCATACTAATGTTTCCCGCTCCCTCCCGCAACACAGTGACAGACTAACTAATCGAATATTCTCTCTTTGAAGCAGCGCCGCTGGATCTATTCAAGTGTGAGGCAGGGGGTCTGCGTGTGTGTGTGCGTGTGTGTGTGTGTGGGTGTGTGTGTGTGTGTGTGTGTGTGGATGTTTCAGCACATGTCTTATGTGCCTCTGTGCTCTTATGTGTGCATCTTTGTGTGCTTTGGTGTGTTTATTTACTCTTGTTTATGCAATTACTTTTAGGTCTGTGTCTGTTGTGTGTGTTGTGTCTGTTGTGTGTCTGCGTGCGTGCGTGTGTGCCGGGGTTTGAGGAGGCGGCGGGTGTATGGAAATGTTGTTTATGCATTTTTATGCAAAGCAATTATGTTGACTTAATTGGGTTTGTTTATGTGGAGAGTGTGTCACCTCCAGTCATGTATTACTGCTGGAGTGGACATATGGAGCACACAAACACATAGACTAGTATATCCGTGCACTCCTCAAAATAGCACCTATTCTACTGAGTAATTGAATAATGTGAATTGTTTACTGTATAGTAACAGAGTTCTTGTGAGAACTCTTGGAGTTACTATGACCACACTTCATAACAATCACTTCGGGCAAGTTAAACTTCATAATGTATTTACTGAGCTTGCAGCTTTTCATTTCTGTTTTGTATAATGATATTGACCAGTGTAACCTTACCAATGACAACCTATAGGCGGCCAATTCTGAAAATCATCTCGTCCTTTCCTCTCCTCAGTGCCTTGTCTGAATCCAAAGATAAAAGGTTAATTTGCCATCTCTCCCCCTTCCTCCAGGCCAAATCAATCCACCATAGACTCTGTCTGCCATTGTCCTAATCAGACTCTCAACTCACTATTGGATTTCGATGGAACAAGCGCAGCCCAAAGACCCACACAGCCACCTAATCGATGGTCCCGAAATGGCTCTGGTTTTCTCCGGGGGGGTCAATCTGGTTTTAATGCTTACACACAGGGAAGTGGCACCGGGTCCGATGGCTTGATATGTCCTCTGGAAGTTCATTTGTCGTTTAGCTGATAGTCAGCCGCAAACAAGTCTACAGTGTCTTGGTCCCCAAAGGCTGAATTTTGGTCTCAGACCCTCTAACCAAAGCCTTTGTGTTTCCTCTGCCGGTTAAATTAAACCTTCTGAACCAAGTCACTTGTGTGCTATTGCAAGAAATGCAGAGGGTCAGTTGTTTGCGTGGAATTGTGCTCTTCCCCTTCAAATTTCAAGAAAAGCAGATTGAAAGCAAATAAAAGTACATTTTCTTGCTGCTTCACTTTCAAACCAATGACAGCTTTCGCTTCAAGGATTTGCTCATAAACACAGGGTTCGTGTCACGTCCATCAGCTAGCACTGACTTCATGTTGCTCTGCAGGTTCGACCCCACAGAGCTCTGGAAATGGACCAGATGGAGCCCACCCGCCGATCACACGCTCACCAATGGCTCAGGAGAGAGGTAAGACTGTGGGCATGCAAGTGATGACCACATGCAAGCTTTTTTGTTTCCTTCCTGGGGAAAAAAAAAAGGTGGGTGGTGGAAAAGTCACATACTTTTTTTTTTTTCATACCATTTCATACCATGCTCATAGAATCCAGCCTTTATACTGCACATACAGTGAATAGTTTCAGAAATGGTTTAGATTAAAAAAATCCATCCAGTCCATCACTAACTCAAAAAAGGACTGAAATGGAAGGGAAAAAATGGTTTTGTTACATAAAACATCGCTGAGGGATTCATTAAGATTCCAAAGACATGTTATAAAAGCTTAGAAAATAACAGTGGCAGTAAAGAAAATTCTTTGTGTTAATAAGAGGACCTTCAAGAAACATTGATGTGTAGAAATGATTGCTTACTGACTCAGTTAAACCATTTCTGAAAGAAGACAGAACACATGGAATACAACAAAATGTATGATTTTTGTTTAAAAAAACAGGAAATTCTAGTGGTAAAGCTAAGATTAGCTTAGATCTTTCGATGCTTCACATTCCATCTTTAACTTGCACAGATGTGAGGGCCATACATCAAATAAACCCTAAACCCATGAAATTCAAAGATTTACTTTAAAAAAAGAATACTTTTAGTTCTGTTTAAATTTTTAAAAAGTTATTGTTGGAAACAACTTTACAGAGTTTTTTTTTCTGTTGAGAGTTAACAATAAGAAACACAGAAAACTTAAATGTGTATTTCTGAGGTGAAATAATGGAACGAGTTATATTATGATTTACTGTTTCAGTTATATAAAACATCTTTCAATTAAAGAAATCTTGTACTGTTTCACAGTAGTAGTATGTATACTAATTAGTATATATATGAGATTCAAGGGGGAACATTTTCAAATTGCTTTGGGAAAAACACTTAACAATCACTCCGGGGTGTTGTTCAGATTATGTGTGGCCACAACTTGTTGCCTGGAGCTTATTATATGAATGCTAACACACGAGCCAGTGACTTCTGGCCAACTGGCATTTCCATCCACCAATTCTGACCTGTTCTTTAGTGCTTCTAAAAACAGCAGCTTTGCTTGTATGAAAAAGAGTTCTGACAAAAGCCTGAAAGACTGTGCGGCGCCCTCAGATGATTGGCTGTGACGGCCCCTCTCTGGCACCCAGCAAAACGCGCACGTCGCCACACAGAAACGGAGGGACCGAGCCCAACACTGTTAAAAAGGTTATTTCCCAACACGATGAAATCAAGTAGGACATTTAACGCCGCTCTCTAATGCGTGTAAACCCTGTTCAGGAAAGCACGGGACGGTTAACAGGGTTGCCTGTTGTTTTTTGCTGTTTTTCTTTTTTTTTTTGTGGTCAGGATT